GGGTGGGACAAGGACGCTGCCCTGAGCGCTCCCCGCTGGACCGTGTCCACGGTCACCACGGCCCTGAAAGGCGGCTTCAGGCTCAGACGCAGAGGCCCCAGCCCCTGGAGCGCAGAAGGCCCCCCGGCCCCTCGCCAGCCCCCGCCAGTCCCCCGCCCAGGCCCCTGCGTGCTCTGAGCACACACTCACTCCCCACCAGCCCGGACAGAGACAACGGCATTTTCAGAAACACGGCAGAAAGCCACAAGGCCGGCGGCTCATCTGGGGCTGGGCCACCCACACGCGGGGAGGAAGCAGGGCTGGGAGGTGCACGTGCCCCCCGGGGACCCACCTGATGTCCGGAGTCACGGCCCTGTCTGTCCCCTCGGTCAGGAGCCCGGCCTGGCCCAGGCAGCTCTGGGCGTCTTCGCTCACCAGCGAGGAGGGTGGGTGCTGAGAGCAGGTAGACCAGGGTGGGGGCAGCCTGGGGGCCTTGGAGAGGCTGCAGTCTGGGGTCCTGGGCACCAGGCTGGAGGGCCCTGTGAGGGAAGTGAGGTGCCGATCAGACTTCCCGCCCCATGAGCGGCCCTCCCCCAACCCGAGCCCTACACAGGGCAGCAGAGCTCAGAAGCAGAGGCCGGCAGGTAACTGGGAGAAGGTGAACGCCCAGAGGTGAGGCGCCTGGGGCCCGGGAGGCTTCCTGGAGGTGGCGCCCGGGCTTCAGGTCAACCATGGGGGCTCAGACCTTGAGACCCTCATGCTGCAGCCTGCCTGCCCCACCTGCCTGCAACCCCAGCCCTCGGGGACACGCTCGGACCAGCGGTGTGACCTCTGCCCACGTCCTTCGTGTGGGCCCCGGAGTTCCCTGGTGGCCCCAGCTCTGTCGACAACCCCGTCCACAGCAAGACCAGTCCCCTCCTCAGTGAGCACACGCAGGTACTGGGAAGGCGTGCTCTCGCCTCCGCTGGCATTTGAGGACAATGGCATGTGGCAAACACATAAAAGCGGCTCAAATGCATCACCAGGAGTGACAAACAGCCAAGACAGGTCAGAATCATCGGGGTGCCCTGTGCGGGTGGCTGGGGGCGGCATCAGGGAACAAAGGCCACACGTAGGGGAGGGAACAGCCACAGGCCCATGACTCACCCAGCAGAACAGAAAAGCAGGACGGGCTCGGGGGCGGGCAGAGCTCAGCGCCACAAAGGAGCAGGGGACCGAGGCCACGGCAGCGTGGGCTGCTCTCGGGAGCCGGACACGGCGGCAGTGAGGACGAAGCAAGTCCCTCTACGTTCCCACACTTCCTGGGGGACCCGGGGACCCCTAGAGGCCCAGGGCGGAGAGGGTGGGGGCCCTGTCCCTGGGGGCAGCGGCCAGCTTGGACCTATGTTCCTTGGCAGAGAAAGGTCCTGGCCGAAAACACATTGGGGGACAGCCAACCGCTGCTGGCCGAGACACCTGGGGCACCTCAGCCCGCACGCCTGCCCCTCGTGGGGGGCCCTTGCCTGCTTTGACAGCCAATGTCCACTCCCTGATCAGGGAGAGACCACACGGTCCTCAGGGCCAGAAGCCGTCCCACAGGGCTCCCCTCTCCGCCGGGACGAGGACGGCGCTCGGGGCCAGGCTCCTACCCGCTCACGCTTACCAGGGAGGGACGCCGGCCTGTCCAGCCCCTCGGCCACCGCCAGGGTCACACAGCTTGGGGGGCCCTGTTGCCTGAATGGTACAAAGACAAAAGGGGGCTGTGAGCAGTCTGCGGCCATAGCCCCGTGGGTCCCCCCGCCCCGCAGCGGACACTAACATGGTCACGCCGGATGCTCCCGTCCCGGGCTCTGGTGCGTCTGGTGCGGTGTGACCCGCCGGGACCAGCTGCAAAACGTCCTTCTGCCTCTTGAGCCACAGCTCCTTGGAGGGAGCAAGAATGCGAAACTCAAACCAGAACCGGAAGCGGCCGACCAGGGACTCCCCAGGAAAGTGGCCGTGGCCGACCCTGGCTGTCTGCCCGGGTCCCAGCCTGGGTGCAGACCCTGGTCCTCAGGACGGGGCAGGGAGGGCGAAGGTCGCGCCCGCCCACGGCCTCCTGGCAACCGGACTCTCGCCCCGTGCTGGCCTGGCCACCGTAGGCAGGGGACGGACGTAAGCGCGGGAGGTGGATGTCACAGTGTCCCCCCCATAGGTGACGAGGGGACAGTCCGCATGAACGGAGGAGTGCCTGAGAAAGGCGGCCCTGCAGACTGGGGACAGGGGGAGGGTCCAGCTGCCCGCCGTGGCGCCTTGTCCACAGGGGGCTGCCCAGGCCCGCACACGACTCACCGTGTGCTTCTCCCGGCTGGGCACCAAGGTGCCAGCCAGCCGAAGGAACTGCACGGACATCTCCAGGACGGAGGCCATGTCCTCCCGCCGGCCATCAAACTGCGGCAGGAGGGCCCGCAGGTGCTCACAGCTCGCCGAGATCCGCTTCCTGCTTCCGGACAAGTGACAAACGTCTGTGAGCCTGTCCGGCCTTGACCAGGAGAAAGGGCTCCAACCACCAGAACCCCCCTCAGAGCAGCCCCGGGAGCTTCTCGGGTAGAAGGACCACTGGCCAAGGCCGCTGGTTCGCTCACAGGAATCTGTATCCGGGCTCGGACTGACCCTGACCCCTGGCCAGCCCAGGCCTGGACCATCACTGCTTTGGGGGTGAGGGGAGCCCAGGCAGAGTCTGGAGGGTAGAGAACCCAAATGCACCACCTCGAGGTGCCCAGGGTTTCAGATCAAATTGTGGACTGCAGGAGTGGCGTCTATGCACCCACGGGGTTCTTGTTTACCTTGGGGACCGCTATCTATTCCCTAGCTGGGCAGCCGCCACAAGCCTGTTCCAGCTGCGGGAAACCCGGCTGCAGCCACAATGTGCCCTCCTCTGGCACCCAGCCCCCCCTACACCCTGCACTCGCACCCCCTACCCACCTGCGCTCCCTCTCGCAGAGCACGTTCCGTGGGAGGCAGCAGCCGGGACTCTCCGCCATCACAGGGGTCTTGGCCAGGCCCGAGCCCCCGCCGGGGTCCTTGCAGCAGAACCCGGCGCCGCTGGGGGGACAGCTGCTGCTGGGAGAAGGCACCAGCTCGGCTCCGTGAACCCCACAAAACCACCGCAGGCCAGCTGCGGTAACGGATGTTTGGGGGTGGCTGGGGCGGGTACCGCACGAGGCCTGGGTCGGAACCCCTCTCCCCCTCCCGCCGCGGGCAGCGGGGACTCTGCCCCAGGTGGGTCATGCTGGGACTCAGTCTGTGCCAATGGCACCGGTGGGACACCTCCAACACCTCTGGACAGAGGATATCCACCTCACCTCCTCCGGTGCCCCAACCCCCAATTCCTCACCTGCACCCCCTGGAGATGGGGACTCGGGGAACCGCAGCGTCCGGCTGGGGGCCCTGGGACGCCATCAGCACCGCAGGAGGCTGCCGCAGGCCTGAGACGCCCAAGCGCGCCCCGCCCCACGCACGTGCGTCCGCAGCCCCGCCCCGTCACGTGCGCTCTGCCCGCCCCACGTGCTTCCCAGCCCGCCCGCCCCACGTGCTCCCCAGCCCGCCTGCACCTGGCCGACTGCGCGCTTACTCCAGCCACGTGGGCCTCGCCCCACGCAGCGCTCTGTCCCCTGCCAGCATGTCCCACGGGCCGGGGAGTTCCACGGAGAAGTTGCCAGAAGGTGGTGGCCAGGGTCCTTGCACCCCAAGTCCTCAGAAGTGCACCAGGGTAGGGGACCCAGCTTGAGTGGTCCTCCCCTACTTGGGGGAGGGGCAGCCCAGCCCTACTCCGATGTGGTCTCCTGTCGCCTACACGCCCACGGGTGCCCCCTGGGTGCCAGCTCCTCGCTGGGAGCTGGCTATTTAGAGTCGTGGGCCCTGCCTTCAAGGAGCTCACGTTTTAGGGGACAAATAAGTTACTAGCCTATGGAGAGGAGCAGCAGAAGGGGGGGCATCCTCAGGGTGAAATGGGGAGTTCCAGGACAGCTGGGCAGCACACCAAGCGAGCGCAACGGGAGCCCCGGCCAGTCCGGGGGCTTGCGCGCGGGCCTGGTGTCCAGGGTCCCAGAGGTGGGCAGGTAGATCCCCTTATGCAGGAAGGAATCGGACTTACTTGAGGAGGGGGGCGACAGGTGTGGGAAGAAAAGATGAAGTTTTCTGGAACCTTGTCAGGCTGATGAGGGTAGGGACACGGCGGGGGTGGGGAGGCACAGAGGGGAATAGGGAGGACGGTCTGAAAACCGTTTAGCCAAGATCTACGGACAGGAGCAGTTAGGGACAAGTGGAGAGTATACACCTGCCGCCCCCTCCACGAGCGCCCACCCCCCCAAATCGCATCCTCTTTGGGTGCTCCACTTAAGTCGAGTGCCACCATCCACCGAGGAGCCAGGAGGCACCCTGACACTGCTCGGCCGCCTTCGGTTCCCCCCACCTCTCTGAGCCGGCCTCAGCACCCTAGCTCGCCTGATGGCCGGCTGGCTGGCCTTCCTGCCTGCACCACCTCTGTTCTTGCCTGGGCCGGGACCGCCCTCTGCTTCCCTGGGCCAGCCCCAGGTCCCCCGTGAGGCACAAAGGCCTTCACTCAAGGCATTCCTCTGCCGGGACCCTTCCCCCACCCCTCAGCTCATGCCTCACTCCCCAGGGGTGTCCTTAAAAAAGGCCTGGTCTCCAGTAGGTTCTGGGGATGGGGGCTCAAAAAATGACACTCTGCCCTTGCCTCATGCTTGGAGCGAGTAGGCTCCCCTGGGGCCAGCCGGTGCTGGGCAGGCAGGAGCTGCTCAGTGGGTGTTTAGTGGAGGAAGGGTGGAGGAGGAAGAGGTGGGTAGAGACCTCTCCTCTTTCGTAGAGGTCCTGGGCTTGGCTCCTCCCTAGCAGACTGGGGCCAAGTTTTGAGTTCCCTGAAGCCCTCAGAAACGTCAGAGTTCATCAGTCCCCACTGCTGACAACATACTGATCATCTCGTGGACCTGCCAGCCGGGCACCGCTGGGGGTCTGCGAGATGGGCACACACCAGCAGGAGTCCTGGGGTAGTCCAGAGCCCTGCCCAGGGCTGAGCCCGGCTGCGCTGGCTGGGACCCTGTGGCAGCCAGCGTCCACCTCTCTGGACAGAGCCGGGGAAGGCCCCCAGGTTGTACCACCACCGATGAGCTGGATGCGCGCAAGACACACCCCATCTGGGGACTTTGAGTATACCCAGGCTCTGCCGAGTGCTCCCCCAAAGCACCTGTGTTTATCCCTCTGTGTCTGGAGCAAACAGGGTGGAACCTCGGGAGAGTTTGCGGGTGGGGGAACCACCAAGTACACACTATGCGCCCTCCAGCTCACCTGGGCCAGCTTCTCTTGGGGCGCCTCCCACCCCCACTGCCGCCCCCTCCCCAGTGGGGGCTGAGATGGTGCCCCAGGCCTTGAGGAAAGCTGCGGGTGATTCTGGCTAAGCCCCACCCCCTTGGCTCAGCCTCTGCATGTGTGTGTCCCCGTCTGTGCCATGATCCCGGCTCAGTGAAAGCTGGAGAGCACCGCAGACCCACATGGTCTCCCGGGCAACCAGGACAGAAGGGAGGGCTGTCCCTGCCTGGGACTCTTCATGAGGGCCCCAGGGTGGCAGCGCGCGGGGTCCTGCAGCAGGGCTTTGCTTCCTAGGTCGCCTTCCCTTGGGTCGCTGGGCCGCGCCAGGTGGGGGCGGGTGCTGCCCTGCCGCCCCCTCTCTGCCTGTGCAGAAGGAGCTCCACGGGAGGTCAGAACAGCGAGGGGCAGGTGACAGCTTGCAGTCACTCTGGCCTCAGAGCATGCACCCTCGCCCCAGGCCCAGTGTGGCTCCCAGGTGTGACACGCACGGACAGACTGGTCTTGGTGCGGGTCTCTGAGGAGTGACCAGTGTCCTGGGGCAGGGGGTTGGGGGTTCAGGGCAGAGTTGCTGATCTGCCCAGCAGCTCAGAGCCAGGCAGGACCCAGTGGGACATTCACCGTCGCTTGTGCGCATGAAACGCCAACGGCCCAGAGTGCACCAGCCCCCACGGAGGTCCCTGTGGGAATGAGCCCCCTCTTGTTCCTCGGGGTTCGGAAGGCTCCGAGCGCCGATGGGGGCGGATCCGGGGTGAGGATGCGGGCGGCCCCCCGCCCCGCCCCAGCTCCGCTCGACGCCGCTGCGGTTCCCGGCGCAGCCGGCAGGGGGCGCGCCCAGACAGGCGCTCGAACCAAGACCTGGAACGTTCTTTTCTTCCTTTGAGTCGGAGAGAGAAAAGTGTATTTCAGGGCCGAGTGACGGAAGAAGTCGCCTGTCGCGGCCCCCTCGCTTCTCTCTCGGCTCCGGGTCCGAGCTGCCGCCGGCCCACATGCCGCTGCCCGACGGGGCGCGCAGCCCGGGGGGCGTCCACGCGGGGGCGCGCGGCAGGGGCCACACCAACCAGACCTTCGTGTTCGATGACGGCCGATGCGCCCCCAGGTACAGTGGGCTGCGCCCCTCCCCGCGCGGGGGGGCCCTGGCCTGGCCTAGCGCCACCCCCCAGGACCGTGCCACCCCCAGATCTCCTCCAGGGTCTTCCCCGCCCCCAAGGCCCGCGAGCGCCCTCTCGTGACCGCCGCGAGGAAGGGCGCCCCTCGGGACCCGGGCGTTCGCTCCAATGACCAGCAGGTGCCCGGGCGGCATCTGTCTGCGCCCCGATGCGAAGGTGACCCGAGCGCGGCCATTTTTAAGTGCCGGTTCCGAGTCTCGCGGGTGCAGGCAGCTGTGGACCCCGCATACCTTGGGGGCCGCGGGCTGTGCGGGCCGTCCAGCCCCCTCTTGCCGAGTCTGGGGGAGGGACCCGCTGGGGTGCTCCTGCGTGGAGGTGGCTGCGCTGCGCCCCAGCAGGACACGGGGCAAGGGTACCCCACATGGAATCGCGTTTCAAGGGCCTCCCTTACCACGACGAGGCTTGATTGGGGTGCAGGTGCTGGCGTGCTGTCCGTGAAGGGTGGGAGTTTGGGACTCCTGCCCCTTGGTGACTTCCGGCGGTCACTTCTCTCTCGGAGCTCCGTTTGCGCATCTGTGTGAGGAGAGGGTGGACTGGCTAGGGCTTTCAGGTGGCCTGGGAGCGAGCCGTGGCCGGCCAGCCTTCACCCCGCAGTGTCCCAGGATGCCACACGGCCCCTGCCCATCCAGGTGACTGCCCTAGAGAGCACAGCAGTCTAGTGGGGCCCCATGGGGTGGGAGGGGTTGCCTCTGTCCACTTTCTCGCCTGTCCTGGAGGACAGGCGCATATGTCTGCCTGTCACCCTGTGCCGGGAGCCAGACTCCAGGTGACCCACAGCCTGTCCCTGCCTGCCCTGTGCGACAGTCCCAGCTGGGCCGAGCCCTGTCCCCTGGGTCCTTCATGACTGGGCTGCTCCGAGGCCAGAGGAGTGGATAAGCACACCGAAAGGCGGGTGGCCTGGCTTGGAGGCCAGGTGCCACCAGTAGCCATTTTCCTGTGGGACCGGGTCTCCCTGTCTGCAAAGCGAGGGGTGGAGTGGGTGGTCTTTAAGGGTCATGCCTGCTGGGGGACTCAGGAGGGCGAGTGTCCAGCCACATGTCTAGAGTCAGGGTGGACCCCTGCAGAGAGGCGCTGGCCTGGAACCCTTGGGGATTCCAGCCTGGTGGAGCCATGTGTGCCCTGAGAGCAGCCGTCACTGTGTGTCTTTGGGACAGGAGTTAGCCCGGGGAGGTGAGTGCAGCCTGGACCTCAGGCCACTCCGAAGGGTCAACCGGGTCGCATCCGTCAGGCACAGTGACCCTGAGAGGGCTCCTGCCCGGGTCTGCCTCCAAGACTGCCCCTCTGCCCCTCTCCGTCCTCCGACAGGTGCGGCCCTCTCTGGGGCTCCGCCCCCATTTCACCCGCCCTGCGTGCCCCCCTGTTCCACGTGAGGTGGCGGCTGTTCTCGGGGTCTGGCTGCTGGGTTCAGTCCCCCCAGACAACTCCATCTCCACCCCCTGCCCAGTGCTCTCCCCTCACGCCCCTGCCCTGGTCTTTCCTGGAACTGTCAGTCCCCTCAGCCCTGCCCCCCACGGCCAGCGCGGGACCCTCTGGGTCCTGATGGCAGAGGGAGCAAAGATCAGGGACTGGCGCCCTGCCAAGGCAGTGCCTGGCCGGGGGTCCCCGCCCGCTGCAGGCCCACGTCAGAGAGTGGTGTCTGCAGGGCAGCGGGAAGTGGCTCAGGCCCCCTGGGAAAGGTACAGCCCAGCGCTGGCCCTCAGGAGGGGCGGCTCTCTGGTCTGGGGACGGGAGGGACCT